TATCAAAATCCAAGATGGCTGCCTGTCGGCCATGTTGTTTATCCGATCAGTCTCAAAAGTTGCCCTGCACAGCTCAGGACGAAGGGGAACCTACATATAAAATTTAATAAAGATCCCTCTGGTCCTTCTTTAGAAATAGCGATAACAAACTTTCACTATCAAAATCCAAGATGGCTGCCTGTCGGCCATGTTGTTTATCCGATTAGTCTCAAAAGTTGCCCTGCACAGCTAAGGACCAAGGGGAACCTGCATATAAAATTTGAGAAAGATCCCTCTGGTACTTCTTGAGAAATACCGATAACAAAGAATTGTTTATGGACGGACGACGGACGAACAACAGACAACGGACGGACGACGGACCATGGATGCAAGGTGATTTGAATAGCCCACCATCAGATGATGGTGGGCTAATAAGTCCCAGGGTCTGAAACACGACAAGAACACAAAATATAAGTCCCAGGGTCTGAAACACGACAAGAACACAAAATAACACAGGAAAATAGTCTGTGTATTGATGATAGTGTTATGTGTCAGTAGTAAGGCCTGTATTGTTCTCCTGTTGACAATAACTAGGATATCCCATAGATAGGATACACTTTCAGCTGAACAAATGGGTGAATCTGTTGTAAGACAATATTGGTATTCTTGTTAACCTGATAAAACTAGAACTGTAAGGCTACAGGCTAACTAATATCCTTGATCGCACTTGAGAAATAGAAAAATGGGAATAACGCCTATAAAATAAATCTCAACAGTGCAATTACCTAACATGCCATAACTGTGAACGAAATTTCATAAAAATGGGTGAGAAGATAGGCAACACTGTGCTGACCAATCTCCTAAAGACAGATGGACCGAAAGCCTGATTCAAGTATACCCCACCTACTGTTAGGGGTAGGGGTTATTCAAACATTGTTGTGACCCTGATATATTAATTATAGACATATGACAAAAAAACGCCAATGGCGATATGGCCGGATTGCTACAGTACATTTTCATGTAAAGCATCATATGTGATGAGCATCCTTTTAGCCATGCAAGTTTATTAACAAACTTTAAAGTCACTCTTTACCAAGCTTTCAGGCTTAGCCCTTCGTCAGGGATTAAATGTCACCGGACCTCTGTCACATCCATTTTGACAGACATGACGAGTATCTATCATGCAAGTTTAGTTGTTGTAGGACAAGTAGTTACTTGGTAAGTGACCTAAACCAATCTTCCTAACCATAGTGCAGATTGGGCCTGACCTAAACCAATCTTCTTAAGGTAATAGGATTGTGTCGCCATTTCTCAGTAGAATTTCTTCACATTTTGTAGTTATATTGCTTTGAAGTAAAGAAAATTTTCTGCCACAAAAAAAATATAGGTTGTCAGAATTTTAAGGATTTTAAATGGAAATTTATGTAAAAAAGAGTGAATTTTGAAAAAAAAATGAAACACACAATTTTTTACAAAATGATGTCAATAAAAATGATACCGACATAGATTAGTACTGGATCAATGTATATCAATTTCATAAATGCTGAAATTGTGTCAAATTAATTATCTATAAACAATTAAAAATTGACATTTTTGATAAAACCATATACACATAGTAATTGCATGTAAGAGTTATCGTTCTTGAAAAACTTCACAGTAGTGAAATAGGTAGCCGGTTACCTGAAGTACAGAAAAATGGACACATGTGACACATTGGATAAAAAACAACTGAATTAATGCCTGGATTGCTTTGAAATACTTTAATATTGAAAGAACACACTGTTATGTCAATAAACAACATACAATATTCATCAGTTTAATATTAAACATTAGAATATGCGGAGATTGTGACACTGTCTCCCTACATTGGGTTTTCAACTAGGGATGTACTTCCTATTTCCGATTAGCAATACACTCCTATGACCTTAACCATAGTGCAGATTGGGCCTGACCTCAACCAATCTTCTTAACCTGGTCACTGAAACGGAATCGCCAATCTATAAGCCCTGATTGCGTTGCAATCCGGCCAATAAAACTTGAACCATTAAGGTGACACAAATGTCAAACAAAAATATTGTGGTGATATCAGAAAATAAATTATCTTGTGACACAGAGGTAATACAATTTGTACATTCCAGTGATCTTGTTGAAATAAGACAAACACTTTTGTGACACTCATGTGAAACTTTAAATGTCTTGGTGAATTGAATAATAAAACAATACCTCTGACCCATAGTCTGGTGCCTGCAGGTTCCTCCGCTCAATATCGCAGAATTCTCCCAGTGTGACTTCCAAACCAAAGAAGTGGAGAACAAGACTCTTTCTGGCGTTGAAGAAGGACGTGATGTGGTTATCCTTGGATATGGAATGTTTTGTAAGGTCAAGGCCAACCTCCTCCACCATTTCTCTATTGGCAGCCTCAACAGGGTCCTCTCCTGGGTCAACCAGACCTCCTGGGAACCCAATCACACCATCAAATCGCATCTGCATCTTTGAAAAAAGAACAAAGAAGTTCATTTCTTTGAAAATGAGTGGTCTACTGTGTGAATTCTACTTCGGAGAATCTGAAGTTAATCTCTCATACCCTTTATTCCTCCGTTCTTCTGTACAGTTTCTGTAATTTTCACACTTCTTTGTCGTTTATCTTGATAGAAACTTGTTTCAGAGTTTGCTCCAAGGCCCAGTTATCATACTGTGTCACGATAGATATTTTATGGTCAAGGGGAGGTAATCAATATGAGGAGTCAATATTCTGGACTCTGTTTAATACTGTTGAGATTCTGCTTGTGTTAGATGTGTAGGAATATTTTATTCTGGATACTTTATTTCTAGGTATGATTTCTGGTGATGAAATATATAAGACAGAGGTATATAGAGCCATACACACACACATGGGTGTACACTGTACATACATCTACACGATAAATAGGTACTCAGAGGACTCAATGAAGTAGATCAGCATGAACATAGAAGAATGACATCCAATCCTGATATGTAGTATAGAATATCCTAGATACCAGGATTTAAACATCAGAAAAATCTCCATACCTTATATAACAAGTAATAAAATAATTTTCAAACACTAATGAAACAAGCATATCAACTTATACTAATCACTCCTGTTGGCCAAATTGGTAGAACAGGAGGGGTGTTAATACGGGAGGAAACAGAACTACCTTATGCTCACATCCCCCCGTCAGGGAATTGAACCCTGGCTGTCATGGTGTAAGGCCGGTGTGCTGTCCACTGCACCACTCGACTGATGTTAGTTACTTACAAGGATAGCTGCCCTGGTCGGATAAAGATCCCACAGCACCCGAGGGTCACGAGCCAGAAGCATGGTATGACTGGCATGTTAGTTACTTACAAGGATAGCTGTCCTGGTCGGATAAAGATCCCACAGCACCCGAGGGTCACGGGCTAGAAGCATGGTATGACTGGCATGTTAGTTACTTACAAGGATAGCTGCCCTGGACGGATAAAGATCCCACAGCACCCGAGGGTCACGAGCCAGAAGCATGGTATGACTGGCATGTTTGTGTGTTGCGTATTTCTCCGATGTAGCCTCGTTGTAGGATATCACCAGGAAATCCTCCTTTCTGTCATCCACACGACCATAGTTTTCGTACGGAGCCAGCTGGCCCCAGCCTGTCTCTGACATACCGTGTTCTGTAATAGTGAAACTTAAGTCAAGTCTACATCAATTCAAATAGTACTCAGCACTTATCTCCCCATAAATCTGGCTGTGACCTTTTGATAGACTTACTCAAGTCTACAACAGAAACAGATTATAAAATTCTTACCCATTGAGACTGCCAGCTAGTCTTATGAAAAAGGTACAATGGGCTGCGGTAAAAGTGAGGACCTTTTTTCTGAGTGACTGACAAGTCCATAGACCCCTGTACGGCCTAGTGTATGTAATAGATATGTTATAATATATGGAACCTTTGGCTGGAGCAAACAATTGTGTATGCAAACAGATTAATCAATCATCAACTGGGTGAAATAGGGGAGACTCTTGGTAATTATAGGAAAATAGCAAACTGAGGGAATTTCCCTTTAGTTCAATCGGTAGAGCTACAGACTGGCTCACTGGTTCCATCGGGAGAGCTACAGACAGCTGGGGCACTGGTACAATCGGTAGATCTACAGGCTGGGTCACTGGTTCAAACGGTAGATCTACAGACTGGGTCACAGGTTCAATCGGTAGAGCTGCAGACTGGGTCACTGGGTCAATCGGTAGATCTACAGACTAGGTCACTGGTTCAATCTGTAGTGCTACAGACGGGGTCACTGGTTCAAACGGTAGAGATATACAGACTGGGTCACAGGTTCAATCGGTAGAGCCACAGATTGGGTCACTGGGTCAATCGGTAGATCTACAGGCTGGGTCACTGGGTCAATCGGTAGATCTAAAGACTGGGTCACTGGATCAATCGGTAGAGCTATACAGACTGGTTCACTGGTTCAATCGCTAGAGCTACAGACTGAGTCACTGGTTCCATCGGGAGAGCTACAGACCGGGTCACTGGTTCAATGGGTAGAGCTACAGACTAGGTCACTGGTTCAATTGGTAGAGCTACAGACAGCTGGGCCACTGGCTCAATCGGTAAAGCTACAGTCTGGGTCTATGGTTCAATCGGTAGATCTAAAGACTGGGTCACTGGGTCAATCGGTAGATCTAAAGACTGGGTCACTGGGTCAATCGGTAGATCTAAAGACTGGGTCACTGGGTCAATCGGTAGATCTACAGGCTGGGTCACTGGGTCAATCGGTAGAGCTACTGACTGGGTCACTGGTGCCATCGGTAGAGCTACAGCCTGGGTCACTGGTTCCATAGGTAGAGATACAGACTGGGTCACTAGTTCAATCGGTAGAGCCACAGATTGGGTCACTGGTTCAATTGGTAGAGCTACAGACATAGGGGTCTCTGGTTCAATCGGTAGGGCTACAGACTGGGTCTCTGGTTCAATCGGTAAAGCTACAGTCTGGGTCTATGGTTCAATCGGTAGGTCTACAGACTGGGTCACAGGTTCAATCGGTAGAGCGACAGACTGGGTCTCTGGTGCAATCGGTAGAGCTACAGACTGGGTCACTGGTTCCATCGGTAGAGCTACAGACAGCTGGGTCACTGGTTCAATCGGTAGATCTACAGACTGGGTCACTGGTTCCATAGGTAGAGATACAGACAGCTGGGTCACTGGTTCAATCGGTAGAGCTACAGACTGGGTCACTGGTTCAATCCCGGGTGGAAGCACACCACTCTGGTATTACACACTGTTTTTACTGCATAATTGAGAATTAGAGACCAGAAAGGTTACTTATTCTTTTTCTACATCAATGATAAACACCCTCAGGGAACCCGCCGTGCCAATTAAATACCAGTAGTCTAGCACAAATACCTAAGGTTTTCTTAATGAAAAACCAACATTAAGGCCAAAGTTTTAACCCGGAGAAATTGGCAAAAGTTGTTAAGTCTAAAACAAGTTAAAAAGCTAAAACAGATATTTGTTTCTGTTTTGACTTAACTGCATCAGGTTGGACCCTTCAGAAACCCAATACAAAATATCCTAGTACAAATACAGATGGTTACAAATTATTGTAAATGAACGTTATCATTTAAAAACTTTTAACATGTTAATCATGCATGGCAAAGCCGGTGCGACTATATAAGCACATCTATTCTGCAAATATCTGCAAAAAGAAATATATACGTTCTTTCAGAGCTAGTGATTTCTTCGGGTTAATTGAACTAGCTTTTTTTATCCCACATTCGTGGTTTTTATCTCCTGTTTTGTTCAGAAGAGTGATTTATCTGGCAATCCCTAGAACCGGTAATTATATAAGTAGATAAGCTACCACCCTCACAATGCTAGAAAACACGACCTGGGCCCGTATTCATGAAGCCGTTCTCATGCTCAAGCATGGAATTTGTGCTCAAGCCTAATTTCTTGTTCTGGTTATAACTCAATATATAAATCTTATTTTGTCAATGATTTGGAAACATTATGAAGAGACTTGAAGCCAAATACTGTTTTCAATGTTTACATTTGACTTTTTGATCGTTTGACATGATTTAAGCTAGTTACAAGAAAATTGGTCTGAGCACAGATTCCATGCTTGAGCATGAGAACGGTTTCATGAATACGGCAATCCAGTCTGTATCCGCAAAAGACCCGGACACTCAAACCCTCCCTACAATGTTCATTATCTGACCAAGTCCACTTCTAGATTTAGAATTTTGTTGTTCTGTTCACCACTGCTTTCAAGAAAAGCTGACAATGAGAAAGCTGACAATGATAAAGCTGACAATGAGAAAGCTGACAATGAGAAAATGAGAAAGCTGACAATGATAAAGCTGACAAACAGTTACAAAGGGAAAAGATTTTTCCTGCATGAGCATATTCTTTATGGATGAATTTTGGTCCACACATGATCAACAAAGAATACCAAATACAAAAGGGTATAAAAGCCAAATTTAAAATGAAAGAAGATATGTTTAAATTCCAAAATAATTCCAGCAACCTATACATGAAGTTACAGTGACTATATTTGACCATGTGATAACATGGTAGTAATATATATTGTACATATTAGTATTAGGGCTAATTTTTGCATCCCTATGTAACCCTCGTAAAATCTAGCCACTTCTTATTGACTCAGCTCAGGAGGTTTTCTCTTTAGCTCTTTCAGTAGAGCGTAACACTAGTAAACCAGAGGTCATGGGTTCTTTAGCTCTTTCAGTAGAGCGTAACACTAGTAAACCAGAGGTCATGGGTTCGATTCCTAGTAGAAGCACTGAAAAAATATAGACCGGTTACATCTATTATAGATGTAAAATAAATTTTGACATCGAAAATAAAGATATTACTGTTCTTTATCATTCATCAACCATTTCCAGGCTGAAGTCACAAAGGTTTCAACATGTATTATGCCACTTTTGTGGACACAAAATAACGCCTATGGTATATGTCATATAAGTCTAACTCCAGATGCTCAGAGAGCACCCAGATCATCGACCCGAAAACTTACACATGTAAGTGCACGTGTTGCTATGCTGGGAAAGTATAACATTATAACAGAAAATAGAGTACAGCTGTAGTGTGCTTCCACCGAGGATCGAACCAGTGCCCACTGCTGCACAGTCAGCCGCTCTACTGATAGTGATTGAGTTAAAAAAACAACGTCCCATTAGTGTAAAGCTAGAAGGCGACCATAGAACCATATACACAATTTTAACCAGCTGTCACATTAAAGATCCTGTACCACTGCCAAACACTGTAACTATTTATATATTGGAAAGTACTTTTTTTACCGGCATGACAATAGCTTTGATAAATAATTGCAGAAATGAAAACTAATTATTATCACGTGGGTCATTCTATTATGGAAAAAAATATATAATAAAGATAAAATAGACAAAAAATAATTAATCAACAACTGTGTTTTTGAGTGTAAAAATTCTGCAGAGTTTAGAACCCAATACGTCAGGTTGTAACAGTATCACTCGAACTGATTGAGCTATCAGCTGGTCAACGGATGTGCCCTGCCAACTGCCACCACAGTGCCATTGGCCTTGGCCATTGGCACAGGGATCCCCAATAACCTTCTGTAACAAGCCTCGCCTGTACATTTATACAGACTGTGGTACCTGTGGTGCTCACCACTATAACGTGTGTTTGACCGTCTATATCGTGGTCAATCCGAGTCTGTCAGCTGCAGAACTTGTGGTTGTCAACAGCAAGCCACGTTACGTATACCGCATGGGCTAAAAATAGTTCGGGGTGTTTTCCGGTGATCCACGTCAAACAGGCGTTTATATAATTAGACGATATGGGGACTTTGTACGGAAGCCCAGTGTAGAAGGCTTTTGCGCTGATTTTTATACCTGCCTATTCTTACAATCTCGGGACATTACTCCAGTTCGCAGTGACATTTGTACACACAAGACTAGTTGATTCGGTATTCAAGAGCTCGCTCCGAACAATAGGCAATCAACGCACATGTGACACCACAGCCACAGGGACCTGAGAATTTGTTACAGCTATATTTGGACCTAAACTATAAGGTGTTCAAAGTAATTTCACATGTTTATGGGGTTTAGATCTACTTTCGGTAAGACATGACACCCCCAATGATCATATATAGGAGCTATACATATGATCATTGAGGGTGTCATGTTTTACCGAAAGTCGATCTAAACCCCTAAAACATGCAAAATTACTCTGAATACCTTATTAATTAGTTTAGGTCTAAATGCATCGTCGGATACCCACGGTTGATTTCGCTTCGGTACTCACTCATCCGACGATGGTTTAAATGTAGCTGTAACAAATTCTCAGGTCCCTGTGATATATACGTCTCTGCTGTGATCACAGCTGATACATATTAATATTATGTAACTGGGGGAGACGGGCCCAGTTTGTAGTGGACCAACTCTAACTGTTAGGCTACACCCGGCAAAATACCTTTTTGTCGTCCGTCAACCTAGCCCTATACCAAACGGTATCGGAGAATTCCACGTTTTCATATAGCAGTACGCTCTGGCCCCACACCAGACATCTACATGTATATGTCAAAATGTCTAAGTCTGGTGTTAGGGCCAGCGGAAACTAGAACTCCTCAGGTTCGAATTCGGTACTACTTGTTTTTGTTGATGGAGAAATTATACTCAACCATGATTAACAATCAACAATAGTGTTTAAACATGAACAACATCTAGGCCTACAGTTACATGACACGTACACAACCCTACCGAGACGACCCCCCGCTAACCCTAACGTTTCACAGTGATCACTAATAAAGTTCCCTAAATCCTAATTAATAAGTTAATATCCACCCCCGATTCCCATCCCGTCCACTACCCAATTACGTTAATTATTTCTAAGGGTCTACATCTCTATGGCAGTCACACAGGACCTCAATCCTTCGGTCTGCCCGGCAATTTTGTAACAGGAGAAAGAGATAAAGTGACGGCCAGACCGGGGTTCGAACCCGGAACCCTCCTCACTTTAGACGGTACCAATTGAGCTACCTGGTCGCCGACGATCGAGCCAGTCCAGTTCCGCTACATTCCTTCCTCCTTTTTCTACGTCTTCGCCCCCAAGACACAACTATTTACAATCCATATTCGGGTATCCCCTTGCTAAGCGTACTCCCAATCCTTGAAACAGTTATTAGGGATGACAAGCTCGCCAATTTTGTAACAGGAGAAAGAGATAATGTAACGGCCAGACCGGGGTTCGAACCCGGGACCCACCTAACTCTAGACGGTACCAATTGAGCTACCTGATCGCCGACGATCGACCCAGTCCAGTTCCGCTACAATTATATCAAACTCTCATATGTAATAATAATAATGTCCTATATTACTGGATTTAAAACAAAAATAAGTATTACCTGAGCGCTAGTTCAATTATGTCCTACTTTTTAGAATAAGATATCTGGCATGTAATCTACTTTTCTGAAAACTGCTGACACATTGCTTGTAAACCTACTTATACCACGCACTTACATGGCATCTAATTCCGTGCTTATACCTACACTGTATGTAACGTATCATGTCTGCATAAAATAACATTTGATTCTGAGTTAGATGTGATATAATAGCACGTGGACATGGAACATACACTTTCTATTTGGTTTTGTCATGTTTGCAAGTACAACACTCATCGTTCGGAAATAGTTCCTGTATAATATCAGGAACGAGCCCTAAAGGATACTATGGCAAGCCAAGTTGTCATTTATTCATGGAGCAATGTTGATCCAGGACTTAACCAAAATATATAAGATATCTCATAAACATATAAGATATCTTATTTAAAGTTTATGAGATATATTATATCTTTTATAAGATATCTTATATAATTTGGTTAAGTACTGGATCAAAATTGCTCCATGAATAAATGACAACTTGGCTTGCCATAATCATACGTAGTTTCAATTTGATAACTGGTCCCGTTGTCATAGGTTGCCATTTTCGATCAAATCCTCTCAGACCCCCTCGGTTATCGACAGGTTCCGAGCGCAGTGGGGGAGGGTTTATTATCTCAAATTCAAATATTGTTCTTTATAAGATATATCATAACTGAATTATATAAGATATCTCATTTAATTTTGTTTATAAGATATCTTATATATTATAAAAGATATCGTCGATGAAGGAGACGACGCTCATCCCTCCGGTCTTATTTGAATCTCACGTGCTTTCCAAATGCTCTCCATTTAAATCTTTCTTGAATATATTTTGAAATAGTTTTGCCGATATTGAGTTCGAGTTACGGGTTTTTTGAAACTTCGGTATTTCCTCTCTCTCTTTTTATCAACGTTTTCATATAATTTAATTCTGTTTGAAATAAGCATTTCTATTGTTGTTTTTTTCATATGATGAAAGAACTACTTTCGGACGAAAGAACTGTAACAAGCTTTTTGATTGGATGATGGAAACAGCTTCGTTATGACGTAGGCGTATTGATTTTTTGAATACTGATTGATTTTGAGTACTGCATCATTTGATGCGTGATTTGTGAAATTAAATATTTGAAAGTATTTAATCGTTTTTCTATTTATATAAGAATTAGATATAAACTTGAATGATTTATTTACGTTATTGAGCCATAACATAAAAGGAGTGTAGGCCGACTCTGAAAAGACAAATTGGTAAGTGACTGAACTGAGTGAGCAGACCCCTACCCTGTCTGTCGAATACTACAATATCAAATAATAATAATAATAATAAAGGAATTCTTTAAAAGGAAAAATACAAAATGATTTTAATACAAAATGTACAAACAATTAACTGGATTTGACTTTGTTCTGATAAACCGAACTGAATAGCGAGTCCATCAACAGCATTACCGGCACCAGGAGGTAGGGGAAATACACAAGGAACAGAGTCCGGCGCTCTGTGAACGTCTCCGGGCCAGGAGGCTGTACGCCACTGAAGTCGTGCATGAGTACATGGTAACATATAGCAACCGTTGTCGTGGCAACGTGTGAGGAATAAACGATGAGAGGAATACGAATCCATTGGCAATTCCGGACACCTAAAACAGAACGGAAATGACGTTACACGTAAACGGATTAGTTTAATGATGTACATGGTTTGGATGAATATTTGTTATTATTATAATTTCAAAAAACATCAAACAGTTGAACCTAGGGGATTTACCGTCACTGTACCCAAATCGGGACAGTGCCCAAAACGTCGGGACACTTGTCTGAAAACGGCCCAAGAAACTGTCATGCAATGCAAAGAAGTACTTTTTGTATACAGTTTAAATTTGATAATACCTTTATGACAAATTAACTGTATTAAACTTTATTGGCTGCTGCTTATCGTTACATGAACAATTTAAAGATAAGAATAATAACCAAAACAAACTTTTCTGATGTACGTGCCGTGTGACGCTACTTATTTGTATAACATTTTCAAAAAGTCTATTTTATCAAAACGAATGCTAATTTGGAGCAGAAAGTTAATCAGAACCCTCTTTGACTCTAACATATATCAACAATGCACACTTTTCTGCGGACAAATGTAGTTTATCCAAGAGTATTAGCCAAAGTACCGAAGTGTCCCTTTCAGGGTACAGTAACGCCGGTTCAAGGACCTGCGTAATCCTGAGTTCTATTTATAGAACCACGCGCCTGAAATACCAACTTGTAATTAAAATGAAAAAAAAAGAACATATATTATTGAAAAAATGAACAAACTTTTTTGTTACTGATAGTATGGTATAAAGAACATTGATATTTATGTAAAAAGTGTAACGATTAGGGTACAGTGATGTTACAACCTCCCATTATAATACCAAGGATGTGACACCCAATTTTCAAAAATGAAAATAATTGAACGAAAAAATACTACTAGTGACGGATGATACAGATTTTAACCGCACCATATGTCATTTAGCTTTGAGATTTGTACAAACAAACCTTTCCAAAAAGCATACGTGGCCACAAAGAAAAATGGAAACTGAAGAGTAAGCTCGGACATGACGAAGGTCTTGAACCACGTGGGAGGTGCCGCCATCATGGGGTCCTTGAACTCTGAGCAGTACCAGGTCATCAGGTCAAGTAACTGTGAAATAGAAATAGATATTAGCTTTATTGGCCCGGATAGAAGCGCACAGAGGGTCCTGATTTGGAAAGAAACCGGAGTACCCGGAGAAAAATCATGGGATATGGCAGATGTCCCCTCCCTTTTCACGTCCGATCAGGAAACGAGCCCCGGTCGTCTTTAGTGAAAAGCGAATGCGCTGTCCACTGCGCCATCCGACAATCAACTGTGAACATACATATTTGGGATCCTGGGCCCACTTGTATAAAACATCTCAAAGTTAAGGAAATTCTCAAGCAATGTATTGTCTATGGGAAATCTTAGACTTGAGGAAATCTCAAGAGTTGAGATGTTTTATACAAGTGGGCCCAGCCCTTCACCAGGACCGCATCCTCAATATCCAGGGGTTACGCTCACTTTTGCTCTCTGCAACTCTGGAATGTCATAGTGAAATTGAAGACACGAAGAACCTTCAGTTTTGCTATGAAATGTTCCAGGGGTGAAGAGAGCGTAAATGATGCCAGTACATGTATATATACGTCTCTGCCAGTACCAAGAGTACCGCGGAGGAAATTTGTGTAGATTACATGTAATGTCCATCTTGATATCAGGCTGCTTTGTAGCACTGTATTAAGACACCCTACTCGTCGAGCTAGACTATACTAGTCTGTGGTGCAGTGTAACTAGACTGTGTAGACTTTTTCTAGCCTTGTAGTGAAGCATCATACAGGAATACACTATGGCGTCTCAGGCTAATAACACTAGCATACTCAAAACATTCTTTAATGTTATACTGACAACGGGTGAACCAGTTGTCGCCATTACCCTACATGCTGAACGCTAGGCAGGGAATACCAACTGCCATTTTAAGGACTTTGATATGTCCCGGCCTGGGGACAGAACTCATTATTTTCCTCAGCTGAGCGAACTTTCAACATTTAAGCCAAACGTGATGTATTGCCAAGCAAGGCGTTAGGAAATAAAAAGGTAGATATAAAAAGAAAAATATAAAGATAACAACTATTGCAATTGGTGCAGCGGATTTATTATGATCGCTTTTGTATCCCCAAGTAGAGGACACAAGCAAATCCCAAATTCTGCTAGGGGTTCCCACATTAGTCGCCTACTTACGATACTTCTTTTCTCGATCCCCGACCTGCAGGGGTGTGTTGATAGTGAATGTCGGCTATGTAGTACTGGTACATATGCCTGCGTGCGGTATAACAGTTACCGTGTGTAATTACCTGGCGAGGATACAGCCATTGGGGAAGCAGAGCCTGCGAGTCGACGAAGATCGTGATTGGAATGTGGCTGGCAAAGTAAATCAGGAACACAAGGTCCAGTGGTCTCGCCATATCTGTGTCAACAAAGCCAATGTTCCCTTCAATAATGTGGCTAGACCGACGTGGCTAGTCCTGTCAGCTGTGTTGTGATATTTTATGTACTACGTAGATGTGTATATGTCGCTAGTATCGTACCCGCTATTTTAAGTTCTCATTATCAAAGAAACCAAAGTTATAAGTTACACGTGCGCTGAGATATGGCTCACCAAATTATTATATACAAATTAGTCACTTCAACCACATAAACGAAAAGCCACTGACCCTTCATGGTCTTCAGGGCGCTTATTCATTGATACGGAAGCCTGAACAAGTCGTAACTCTATTGATATTGAGATTATTTTGAAATTATTTTGTGAACTTGAAGACGTTCTGCCTACGACAGCAGTTTCTTTGTATAGTTTTAGGAAGTTACTTATGTACTACTTGATATGATGGACATGAAAAATTAGCATGAAGATTCAATGGGGGTTGGGGTGGGGATGGTGGATTTCATTGTCCGTTCATTATTTTCATTGTTTAGATATTACAATTACGTGGGGATTGTGTCAGCAATCAAACTAAACGGTCTTAATTGACCAAAACTATAGTAGTCAGTAAATTATCAGTGATTCAGGATTCAAGATTTTTTTATTACGCTCTGACACACAAAGTGTGTAACAAGAGGTCAAACAAAATAACATCAATCAAAATAGATGGACTCAAAATCATAAAAACAGGGGGCAGCACACTCACTGATCAACATGGGTGCCCCTTGTCCAAGGATTAAAATCTCTCAAATCAAACTGGCGGGGGAGGATTCAAAAGATTTTTACCTCACGTTTTCCCTATGGGGCCCTACCCCTCTGCTCCCAGGGGGCCACGACCTCTGTTTATACAAAATTGAGTCCTCTGCTGTTCAGGACTAGTAGCGTTTTATATGGAATGTTAACGAATGGACGGACGGACACCCCAGGTTTTTTCCAGCACGAAAACTAATACCACATCTTAATCAACGAGTTATAAACTGATATTGCTGTTATTCTGTTATGAGTTCAGTATTTTTGCAATGATTAATAAATTTCTGTACATAGAATTTAAAATTTCCCATACTCAGTATTACACAAGATACATATAATATATGTGTACATTTCAAACTTAATCCATGAAATACGTCATTTTGTAAGCGATTTTGATTCTTGATCTCTTAGAGGGTCAAAGAAGTATTTCCCATGTGGTTGATTTCGATAGATTTTTTCTGCCATAATATGGATGTACATCATTGTGGAAAACGTAAAAAAAATCGTTTGATGTTAGACCGCACATTGACTAGGGCTACATCCCGGTTGAAACGGTACGTGTGGCGCAGAAATATTCCACGACCGTTCTATAAGCAGAGCAAAAACATGCACAGTTTCGGAGAATAAAAAACAATGTATCACTTTTATCCGTCCATTGAATTACATAACGTATCTTAAAAACTACATGTTACATGACATTGTTTTAGAAAGACTGTGGCATTTAAAGCATCAATACCTCCCAGGGGCGTAACAAACGGGTTTTCAATGTGTAAGCCCAATGATGAAGTGTGCTGCCGAAGGCAGCACCCCGAAGCGCGTAGCGCGAGGAGGGGG